CAACCACTGTGTCTTTTTATTGTAAAGGAGGAATAGAACTACTTGCTGTCCCAGCTATAATTCAAGTAAATAAAACAGGTCAGCAGTAGAGAATTCTTCACACTGAGATTCCTCCCAAATACTCACCTCCCACTGATTTGTAGACACCTGACATTTAAGTGCAGGTTCATCTCTCAAGGGTGAGGTTCCAGGCATTGGATCTCTCTCTCTCTCTCTCTCTCTCTCTCTCACACACACACACACACACACGGGCTCCCACAAAGCAATTTCCTTCCCACCCACAATGTGTTCAATCAGATGTTTTGTTAACAAATGCGTGACCATGCTTAGTTTCACTTCCCACAGGAGTTCTCTGATAACCTCTGAGAGCTGTTTTTGTGGTTTTAGCATCACTTTTCATTGATTTCTTCGAACTATAATCATTTCAAAATTATAATTTTTAACTGAGAATGTGGGTTGGTGGTTAAAAACAGGAAGTATGATGGGTAAGTCTGACAAACCATGAAAATGTGCAAGAAAGTCCAGGAAAATTTAGAACTTGATATCATTGACGACTGTGACAGCATTGCCCCTGTGAGTCCCCTGGAGAACTTGCCTGTAAAGAAGGATGAGGCTACTAACCAAACATAACTGAATGAGTATCCAAATGCAGTTGGTCTAAAATCTTGAAACACACTTGGACGTTCACGTGGACAAAAGTTCAAGGAGGATCACAGAGTAGACAGTGAAAAAGTCAGTATCTCTCTGTGGAAGATTGTATTTCCAGAGGATGGCAATATTATTTCCCATCCCATAGGCTCTTCTGCACTGTGACCTCGACCCTCTTCCCATAGAGAAGAACCTAATTCGATTTGTTTTGTGTCTGTGTTGGCTTAGTAGCCTGCTTGAGCAATGGAATGAAATAGGAATGATATTCCGGGGCTTCCAAAGTTAGGTCATAGGATCCTTGCACCTTCCACCTGAGACACATGGAATGCTCACTCTTAGAACACTCCCTCTTGAAAGCCAGGCAGCAAGCTGGGAGAACCGTGAAGACACTCTTTTGTGTAAAGTATATATGTAGGTTACATTCCAAGAAGAAAATACTTGCATCTTCTTCAATCGTATGTGGATTTTAAATTTTAATAGATATTACCAAATTGCTCTCCTCCCCCCTTAGAAAGTTGTACCAAGTCATGTTCTCACTAGTCAATTTAAAGATTTCATTTATTTATTTGTTTGAGAGAGAAAGAGCACAAGCAGGGGGAGGGGCAGAGGAAGAGGCAGAGAGAGAGTCTCAAGTAGACTCCACCTGGCTCAGGGCTCAATCTCATGACCCTCAGATCATGACCTGATTTGAAATTAAGAGTTGAACGCTTAACCTACTGAGCCACCCAGGCACACCTCATCAGTCAATTTAAAGAGGTCTCTTTTCTGACACTCTTGCCACAGCAGTGCATTACCAAATTTAAAAAATTGTTTACCCTCGATCCTTATTCAGATTATGGATATTATTATTGTGGCAAAAAATGAGCCTAATCCTTGATCTCTGTTTGCTATCTTGAAATATCATGTTTCGGAAATTCCCAGCTGTAATTTCCCCCAAGCAGTCATTTTTGCGAGAATATTAAAAATAAACTCTATGGATTTGGGAAGGATGACATGAACCGCTAGGCAAAAAGAGAGTTAAAGACTAATAAAGATTAATGTGATTTCAGATCCATAAAATGTGTAAGCTTGTTGTAAGGGGGGGGGGAAACTCTGAAAGTATCTATACAAAGTGTTAAGAAGCCAAGTCCACTGTAATTAGAAACCTCAATCAAACCAGCAAATAAAACATTGCCTGGAATTTCCTGCAAGGTCAGTGTCAAGACTGCTTTGGAAGGAGGTGGCTCTGTTCCCTAGATGTGGCTGGGAAAAGTTTAGGTTGAAAGAGTCAGCCTCACGGAAAAGAGAGTGCTCTTATCAAAAGATACATGACAGGGTCGTGAATCTGGGTTAATTTCTCAAATAACGAATCTGCTAAATGACCTGTTCAGCAACCTTGTTGTTTATTCAAAGCATTTAGTTTTAGTTGACTAGTTTTCATTTGTCATTGGAACTGTATCTTCAAGAAAGTCATTTTGTCTCTGATTCTTTTAGTCCCATGTCTGCTGCAAGTGGAGACAGAGGGAGGGGCAGAGCACATGGAGTCCAGAGGGGACAGCTTCGGTTTATAATGTTGTCTGTGAGGACGTGCCCAGGTGGTCACATAACAATGGACACAGAAATTTGCAATAGGATGGGAGTCCTGAAGTGTCTCCAGCAGCCATTGCCTTCACTGAGAACACCACCCCCAAATAAATTGCCTCTGCATTTTCTTAAACGGAAGTCGTTGAGAGAGAGAGACAGAGCACAAGCAGGGGGAGCAGCAGGCTGAGGGAGAGGGAGAAGCAGGCTCCCCGCTGAGCAGAGAGCCCGATGTGGGGCTCGATCCCAGGACCCTGAGATCATGACCTGAGTGGAAGACAGAGGCTTAACCTACTGAGCCACCCAGGCGCCCCATCAAGGATAATTTTTAAGTTGTCCTCCAACCACCCCCTCAAGGACCTACAGCCATTTGCCCTTACTTCTTGGTAATTGATATACCTTGACTCTGAACAGATACTCATTTATAGGGACCCAAAATGCCACTGTGGTCCAAAAGTCAAAGTGGTGGTGGTGGGGGCTTTTGATGGTCAGGTGATACATGGTGTTTTGTCTTGTTTAAACGACAAAGGTGCCAGTAGGGTCTATGAGTCTACATGAGTCTAATCCACGTTTATTTCGCTAGTTCTTGAACGTAAAATATGTGGCAACTGGCAAACCCCCAATTGGCTCTCTAACCTATGGAGTGAGGAAGTGCCAAGTAGAAGTTCTTCCTTATTATGAAAGAAATACAAAAGTAATGCCACCTTCTTGGGGGAAAGGCAGAAATGAATGTCACCATCGAAGACAAAGGTGCAGGAGCAGGGGTGATGATACCTCTCACATCCCTGTTGAACTCATCTATTTGGCCTGTAAAGAAGGCAGATGAATCTTGAAGAATGATTGTGTATAAATTTAATCCAGTGGTGACTCAATTGGTATTCCAGGTGTTCCAGGTGGAGATCTTAGCCGGAGCAAATCATTGTAGCTCCCGACACGTGGTATGCAGTGATCATTCTGGCAGATGATGTTTTTTTCTACATCAATTTATAAGAACCAATTCTTTCTCTACTCTCTGCAAAATTTTTATCAGTGTGAATGAACTGTCTCGAATGGCTTATAGTCTCTGTGATCAGGTAAGTCTCCTCTTTCAATTTTTAAATTTAATTTTGTTACAGTGACATCATGTACAAGAAAAACATCCAGTTTCCCCTTGCAGTTGTTGTTCAAGAATATTTAGCATTGAAACTCAGAAAGTATTTGTTGACAAAGTCAACTTTGTGAACGCTTTATCTTTACGGTGAGTAATTGACTCATTCATTTTATATAAAATTTGGCCCTTTCTACTGTAGGATATTTCTTCAATGAATAAAAATAATAATAATTTATAGAGCAGTCAACAGTACAACATTTGCTTTTGGACTGAAGCATTTCTGATCAAGAATAAACTAAGCAGGATGCCTGGGTGGCTCAGTGGGTTAAGCCTCTGCCTTTGGCTCGGGTCATGATCTCAGGGTCCTGGGATCGAGCCCCGCATTGGGCTCTCTGCTTGGCAGGGAGCCTGCTTCCCCCCTCTCTCTCTCTGCCTGCCTCTCTGCCTACTTGTGATCTCTGTCAAATAAATAAATAAAATCATAAAAAAAAAAGAATATCCTTGAGGCAGTATTGCAGAGTTCTTTTTCAGGGGGAGGGAACCTAGTTTCCTCTTCTGTTACGGAGCTCCAGGTCTCTGAGCAGCTTAAGTATGAAAACTTGCTAAGAAGCCTTGACTCTTCGTGATAACAGAAGTCAGGATTTTGGACTCCAGATCTGGATTTTTTCCTGTTCTACAAATCTAGTAACATTTTTGTAGGATGCTCATACATTTCATTCCTAGAGACACTAGGAATTGTGGTTATTTGCCATAACCACAGATTCTTGCGGGTCAAAATATTCTGGTAATCCTTTATTCCTATTGCCCATTACAATAAATGCATACATCTTGTCTCTGCTTATTAAGTGCTTTCAACTTGGCCTCCACTAGTCTGAAATTTGCACATCATCCCCATTAAAATCAAGGAGCCTACCTCACTGGTAAAATCTCTTGACCTCATACCTGGCCTATAGAAGATAGCCATCAGAAAGCTTTTCAAGGTAGTGTTCTCCACACTGGGGTATTTGTCAATGCCTTAGTGAAGGAATCAAGAGGTGGGAAATAGGTGGGCCAATCAGTCATGAAAAATTCACTCCAACATCTCTATCTCTTGATGTCTTTGAGTTCCTCTGTTTTACCACAGAAACTCTGATATCTCAGTCTCATTGAATATAGACCACTAGAGAGTCCAAGTTTCAGCCAACCCATCATGTATACCTTTAAAGCTACTTTCAGTTGTACAAATTAACACATTAAATCCAAAATATCTGGTAAGTATATTTCCATTAAAGTGGGGCCCAGCTTTCTGATTAGAAAATGCCACTTGGTGATTGCTGACATTAGAGGCTCTTGGGCCAAGAAACTCTGGGAAGACTCCATAAGACCCAAAAGGATGGATTCGGAGGACATCCAGGGTTGTGAGCACATGAAGTGCTGATGAGAGTGGTGTGGTTTGAGAGAGCATGGAAACTCCATCTGCCCGCGCCTGAATTACATCCTTTTCTAATAAATTGGTGATCTCGTAGACAAAACCCAAAAACCTCCAAGGAGGAAGCACTGTCTGGCTGGTGCTGGTCATTTTTTAAAAATTAACATATATGATATTAGTTTCATGTGAACAACATAATGATCTAATATTTATAGCTATTATGAAATAATCACAATAATTCTACTTACCATCCATCACCATACATAGTTACAGGATTTTTCTTTTTTTCTTGTGATGAGAACTTTTAAGATTTACTCTCTTGGCAACTTTCAAATATACAATATGATATTTCTGGTATTTCTGAAGGGGCCAGTGAGGCTGGTCTGGGTGTGTTGGGGGGGAATCCCCTGGAAATTGGAACTGTTACTACCAAGATGATGAATTCTTCTGGAGTGACAATGACAGTAAGAACAAGCAAAATAGGACATAGTAATTTATTTCTCCTTGCTCATACCTTGCAATCTCTCTCCAGTGCCACTGGTACCAGAGCCAAATATCGAGACACCTGGCAAAGGAAAAATGTACATAGTAGAGTCTTAGCAAAAGCAGAATATCTAAGGATGGTTTGCAGCTTAATTATCAGCATCATTTTCTTTTTGTTTTTCATACTAAAATAATTTTGTTTAAAAAATTTCTCTCCATGCTGACATACATTAATGGTTGAAATAATATGCAATCTACTAAATTTGAAATGTAATACTTATACTACATAATTCTAGAAGTTATCTATGTGTGGAAATGATGTATGTATAAGGATTTTATTAAACACATCATTAGTTAAATAAGATCTAAACAAAAAAGAGAGAAATCAAAATGACTTTAGAGGGAAAAGCAGAGTCAGATGTTCTTTTGTGCTTGTGGGTGTCCAGGGCCCAGATGCTGTGAGGTTGCCATGGTCAAACCTGAACATGACCCCAGGCCTTGGAGCTCAACATAGTTTTCATGATTGACTATAACCTGGTTGTTGAAAGGATGAAATGATGCCATGTATACTGAATACCTAGAATCACGCCTGGTCCATCGTAAGTGTTCAATAATCCTTAACACTTTGGGGGGATTTGGGTAACTTAGTTGGTTGAGGTTCTGACTTGTGATTTCAGCTCAGGTGGAGATCTCATGGGTCCTGGGATCGAGCCTCAAGTCGGGCTCCATGTTCAGTGGGGAGTCGGCCTGGGACTTTCTCCTTCTGCACCTCGCCCCACTCATGTGCACTCTCTTTTTTTCTCTCTCTCTCAAATAAATAATTCTGAAAAAAAAATCCCTAACACTTTTTTATATCAATTGAGATAAATACATAGAGTTTTTCCCCCTCCTTCATTCTGATGAGTGATGCATTAATTTTTGAATGTTGAACCATCCTTGCATTCCAAGAATAAATCCCAGTTTGTCATAGCATATAATTCTTTTAATATGCTATTGAATTTGATTTGTTAGGCTTTTTTAAATTGCTATTTATCATACATACAGAGTTTGAAATTTTGGAATGAGAGGCTAAATCAAGGTGACCTTGGAAATTTACTAGAGAATTTCCTGAACTGTCTGCTCTGAAAGTATTCCAGTTTTGCTTTTCTGGGGTATTTTCATAAATGTGATCGCTCAGCTCAGCTCTCTGAGTGTTCCCAGTCATTCTCTCAACTGCAAGAGGTTGTAGCTAAAGACAAATGAGAAGCATAAACTGAGTGGATTGAGAAGAATTTTGAAAGCCTAGCTTTTTCTAAATTCCAGGGTCTATTTCAGCGGTTAGCTCAGGGATTAAGAGCATGAAAAGAATGTCAGGCTAGCTGAGCAAAATTGTGTGTGTGTGTGTGTGTGTGTGTGTGTGTGTATGTGTGTGTTATTCTTTTTTTTTTTATCTTTATTTTTTAATTTTTTTTTATAAACATATAATGTATTTTTATCCCCAGGGGTACAGGTCTGTGAATCGCCAGGTTTACACACTTCACAGCACTCACTATAGCACATATCCTCCCCAATGTCCATAACCCCACCCCCCTCTCCCAACCCCACTCCCCTCAGCAACCCTCAATTTGTTTTGTGAGATTAAGAGTCATTTATGGTTTGTCTAGCTGAGCAAAATTTTAATGATTAAAGAGAAAAGCTGGCTTCCCTAGATCTTTGGTCCAGCTCGGTGGGGAAAAGGGCAGACCACTCCTACTACAGCACCACTCCACACTGGCTGCTCAGGGACACACTTGGGAAGATACCCAAGAGGGTCACCTGTTTGCTTTCCCATCTTGAAATGAAGTTAGAGACTACAGGCCTTATCTTATAGCAGGAAGGAGGCATTTTTGGTGGGGAACAAAGTCCTCACCAAAAGTCTCCCCCAACAAAGTCTCCCAAGAGCACTTGCAGTAAAGTTTACAAAGATTCTGATGAGAAAAGCCACTTGGGGCTCTTAGATGTCCTTGGAAATTTTGGTTCTGCTGGTCGAGTAAGGAACTCAGATTTTGCCTTTTAAACAAGTAGCCCTGGTGATTTTTATCATCAGGAAAGTTTGGGAAGCCCTGCCTAGGGCAAGAGGGCAACTGTTTTCCTGGACCTTCTGCTCAACATTGGCAAAGAAAGATAATATAATATTTAACCACCGAAGAAAGACATCTGTTTGGTTAAGACCTGTGCAGGAAAGGAAAAAAGGGCTACAGTTACTATTCTGCAGAAGAAGAAACGCATGGGGCTGCTTTGCAATTCTGTAGTTATGAATGCCAGATAATGTCATTGAAGGCGAAGCTTTCTTCCCTCAATTAGCTTGGGTTTGGTTGCAAAAACACATCAGCCTTGAAAACGTAGCTGCTGACTTCACCTTGGAGACCGAGGGCTGTGCTGCCACCATGGAGGGAGGGTGTGAAGCAAGTGTCCCCTAGATGCCAGCTCATACCTGATGCTTATTTGACCTTTGCCAGTGATGTGGTTAGTTTCCTAGGGTGTCCTTCCTCACCCACAGCTGGAGCTATTCCCCACATCTGAAAGCAAAAGTCACACAGGCTGGTCAGAAGACAGCTGTGCCTCAGAGCTCAGTGAGAGGCGTGGGAGGTTAAGCGTCATCCCAGCTCAAGATCCTGATGTGGGAAGGATGCACACAGAGTCATGAAATGCGTGTCTGTTTACTTCCATGAGCTGACTCAGCAGGAAAAGTGGATGAGATGTCTGAGCAAGTAATGGGTACATCAAGAGCCCCAGTCCCACCAGAGGCCCCGGAGGTAGTTTGGCCATCTCTATAGTCCTGGTTTTGGTAAAGGCCTTGGAAGAGTGCTTTTAGCATCTAGGAAAGCACCTCCCAGCATATGAGGACAGGCTCAAGTAGTTTTTGAATGAGTGAATGAAGGTGAATGAGAGAGAGCTTGTCACTGAATCGTAAAACAGGACCTCCAATTGTTGATAGTGTATGAGAAAACTTCAAGCTCCATTTCTCAGACCTTTACTCTTTGAAACAAAGTTCAGGCTTCTGCGTGTTATACTCTGTTAACCACAGAGGCCCAAAGTTCTTCCAAAACTGATCGGAGCCTGGGATTGCTCTTCTCAGCTCTTAGGAGCCCTCACACTCCCTTTCCCCTCCATGAAGCGGGGTGATCACAGGCAGACGATGGAGCAAGGCAGCAGCCGCTTGGAGGACTTCCCTCTCAACGTGTTTTCCGTCACTCCCTACACACCCAGCACCGCTGACATCCAGGTGTCCGATGACGACAAGGCGGGGGCCACCTTGCTCTTCTCAGGCATCTTCTTGGGACTGGTGGGGATCACGTTCACCGTCATGGGCTGGATCAAATACCAAGGTGTCTCCCACTTTGAATGGACCCAGCTCCTTGGACCTATCCTGTTGTCAGTCGGGGTGACATTCATCCTGATTGCCGTGTGCAAGTTCAAAATGCTCTCCTGCCAGGCGTGCAAGGAAAGTGAGGAAAGGGTCCTGGATTCGGAGCAGACGGCAGGAGGACAATCATTTGTTTTCACTGGTATCAACCAACCCATCACCTTCCATGGAGCCACTGTGGTGCAGTATATCCCTCCCCCTTATGGTTCTCAAGAACCCCTGGGGATGAACACTACCTACCTGCAGCCAGTGGTGAACCCCTGTGGTCTCATACCACCTGGAGGGGTGGTAACCGCCATGCCAAGCCCTCCTCAGTACTACACCATCTATCCTTCAGAGAATGCTGCTTTTGTTAGTGACCCAGAATACCCTTCCTTTGTGGCCGGTGGAAATGACAGGTATGTTGTGTGGAGTGGGGATGCACCTCTTCCAGCTGTCACAGTTGTGGCCCATGGCTTTGCCTGGTGTGTAAGGAAGGTGCTGGGAGAAGGCAAGCTTCTGTGTGGCATGTTGCCAAAATGGTGGCACTGGTTCCAAGAGAGGTGGTGTGGACTGTAATGGGTCTGTGTTTTCCGCTCCCATTTCAGATCCAGCCCTGATGCTGACCAGCTAGAAGAGACACAGCTGGGAGATGAGGTGTCTGCCTGCTTCTCTCCTCCCCGCTATGAGGAAATATACTCCCTCCCTCGCTAGACTATGATGCCAAAGGAATGGCATTAAAGTCATTGTTGCTGACAAATGAGGTGTCGTGTGTTATGACCTTTTGAGGTTAGAGAGCAGAGAAGCCAGCCAGCCTGACAGATAACAATTGAGGGGGGGTGGAGTGGGAGTGGGGCAGGAGGGGAGACAGGAAGGAAAATATCTGAGATGGGTAAAAATTAGGTGGGGGTGGAGGAAATTTCCTCCTCGTACAGCTGAATATTCCCTGCATATGGACATAGGCAGGAATTTCACTTGGTCCACAACCCACCCCTTTCCTACAGGAAGGCCCTGGTGTCTCAATTTTAATTCCAATAGCCAAAGGGAAAATCACCACTATTGTGACACTGGGAGTTTCCACGGCAGTGAGAGGGGGGTGGGCAGGGAGTAGGGAAGAGAAAATAGGTTTCACTGAAGATTTTCTAGCACCTGTTCTCAGCCCCCCAAGAGGGTTTGCAGATTCCCAAACAACATGGTTGCCATCCGGTGTCCCTTGAGGACTCTGGGTATCTTAAAGGCTGCAAAACCTTTTTTTAGTGGAATAAAATAAAATAATATCTCTGTTTAAAAAAGGGATTAGATAGGGGCACCTGGGTGGCTTAGTGGGTTAAGCCTCTGCCTTCGGCTCAGGTCATGATCCCAGGGTCCTGGGATCGAGCCCTGCATCAGGCTCTCTGCTCAGCGAGGAGCCTGCTTCCTCCTCTCTCTCTCTGCCTGCCTCTCTGCCTACTTGTGATCTGTCAAATAAATAAATAAAATCTTTTAAAAAAATTAAAATAATTAAAAAGGGATTAGAAAGCTGGCTACAAAATAAACTAAAAACCATACAAAATAAATATGATAGGATGACAGTGTCAATAAATCCTTACGTTATCACTGGGTCACAGTGATTCTTTGGCAAGGCTAAAACCTGGTTTGCCCACCAGGCTGGGATCTGTGTTGGAAAGGAGCTACCTGGGCCCAGTGACCAACAGAACATGGGGACCTCTCTAAGCACCTGTCTATGAGTTCTGCTGAATTAGACAAAATAGAGCCTCATGTGAGTACCTGGAAAATCATGAATCATGGAAACAATCCTTATGGTCAAGACAAGCTTGCCTTCTTTATAAAAGAAGTTGGTGTTCTTAATCTTCCTGAATCTGAACTATATAATAAACAACCACAACAGATCAAAGATTTAAGAAGAGACAGTTACAACTGTCGGGTTTTAAAAGACAATATTTTCTTTATTTTCCTGCCACTTGAGATAAGGGACACTCATCCCAAAGGAAGACAGGATTTAGCAATACCTTAAAATTTTGGTACTATGTGTATATAGAGAGTGATTTTAATTAATTTTTATCAAAGCATCTAGTTTTCCAAAGATATGATTAAAATATACTTGATACATTATTGTTGTGATTTGTATTTTATCTTAGGAACAGAACTTTTCTATATGAGAATTCATTTTGATGTATGATGATAGAAGGGGATGGAAAAACAGGATTTCCGTTTACAGAAGCAATATTCATGAAATACTGGATTCCTAGCTGAGGGCCATTGGTTCTGGGGAGGAAGTGTGGGGACAGGGACACAGCCATGCATCACCAGCAGCATACCCACTGGCCATGACACCCTGCATGCCTGCCTCCCTGACCCCCTTTCCCTGCTCATCCTCACTCAGCCCACAGCTTTAGATTCCTGGATTTGGGTTATAATGAGCATCAAGGAAAGCTCAAACAGGAAAAAGATGTGTCCACATGTGGCAGCTGGGCAGGCAGGACTGCCGATTTCTCCCAGGCATTCTGGGAGTCCCACATGCAGGGAAGTGGCCTTGGGGAGTCTTTATCTCCAGGCAGAATGATTCAGCGCCAACTGTTCCTAAGAGAGAAAAAGGGCTAACAAAGAGATAACTGATGCCTCCCAGATGGACTCAGAGCTTCAGGAGCTCAGGGTGGGTGGCAGGCCTGCAATGGTAGGGGGCAGGAGTGGAGGGATGGAAATGTGTTCATTCATTCAACATTTATTGAGTATCTCCTCTGTGGCCAGACATGGGCAATCAAGTGGAGATATAGAAGTGAAACACTTAACCACCAGAGAGCACATCTTCTGCTCTGCCCTCATAGATCTTCTTGTCTGGGGGGCAGGGGGTGGAGAGATCTGACCAGTTACTCTCCAACATCCAAGAGGGGTCCTGTAGCTTCAAGAGGGACTTGGACTGGTCAGGAGGGTCATGGGGGGCCTGCTTGAGGAAATGTAGTCAAGGCCCTCGACTTTCATAACACCAGGGAGCGCTGTTCAGAATGTATAGCCATGTGACTGGTGTATCTTGACCTCTGAGGATTGTGCTGGGAGCTGCAGGAACAGCTGCTGATACCCAGTCAAAGAGAAGGAGGGAGATGGCTGGCAACCCCTAGGTGTCAGGGGGCGTCTTGCAGGCTGTGGAAACTGACAGTCCCGCTGCAGCCGCACTCAAACAGAGATGCCTTCTGCTACTCGACAATCCCACCCCCTTGCTCTCTGGCTTCTGGACAACACGCTCTCTGTCTTTATTTGGGGTGGCGGGCACCAGCATGATGGTAAGCCCACTGCATGGCTTTTGGATCCCAACCCCAGGTCCTTCCTTGGTCTCTCTGACCAGCAAGGATATATTCCTGACAGGTTTCCAGTTTGTCAGCCAGAAGTCTGCCTTTTAGCATTCTTTCTTGCAGTATGGAGGACTGCGACCCTGGGACAGTGGGTTAGAGTCTGTCTGGTCCAGGCTATGCTATCCACGCTGAGATTATCAGTGGGGGAAGTGGCCCTGGTTTCAGGCACATGCTCAAAGGTTCAGTGCCCAGGCCAGAACCCAAGGGGTCAGCCTCGTTGCTCCTTTTAGGTTGTGTCTGGAGAGCAACTGGAAAGCTACTGAATGGCCTAAATGGGGAGGGAGCTGTGATCTGAGTGAACACTTACTGGTTTGGCCAAGACCCAGAGTCATCTGGGGGTAATAGTGACCTTGCTGGCAAAGCTCAGACCCAAGAGACCAGGGCACCAGGGAACACCCTTCCCTACCCTTGCCTTCAGTGGGGCACATGTTCTGGCTGTCTATATAGAATTCAGAAGAAAACTAAAAGGTTTTGTTAATCAAAGGAGACAGGCTCCTTAAGAATGTAATGTTGTCTGGAAACATCTCCCAGGAGCCGACTAGGGCTGGGTCTTTTGGCTGGAGAGATGGATGATAGCTGACCATCCTGACAGGGTAGGACAGGAATTACTGAGGCCTATGAGGTGGGGCCTGGCCACCAAGGGGAAGATACTTTCACAAAGCTCTTAGGATGTCTTCTTTCTGCCCTTGGGCCCACAGAGGGACAGATCCCCTGTGCAGTGTGGGTCTGGGTTCACTCCCTCCTGCAGAACCCTGGGAGGTGTCTAGCACAGGTGGGGCACTCCCCAGACACCACGGTCCTTCTTCCTTTGCTCCCCTGTGCCAGGCATGAATCTCAGTTTCACTTGCCCTCAGTGGCTCTCGACTACAAAATCAGCCCTTTCAGAACCCTCCCCACTTATTTGGCAGAGGGTGGGGGTACAGCATAAAAATAAAACCTCTTGTTTGTGAAGAACTGGCTGTGGGTATCTGTTTTCAGCTTCTGACCTCTGGGGTGCCTCATTGGCTTTGTTGACTGTTGGATCCCTGGAGCAGAGCCGGCTGAAGCCCCATGTCCCCCCAATGGCTGGTGTTGCTCCCCCAAACAGAAGATCCTCATAGGAACCAAGGCGTAGACTTCTTACCAACAAAGAGAGTTTCCTGCCTGGTTCTCAGTAGTGGCCGTGCTTGTCAAGGTCACCAGGGCGCTGTCTGCAGACTGCAACTCACACCACTTGGCCCCATGCAGGTTCCTCCACACAGCCAGCACCTGGCTCCTCCACACAGCCAGCACCTGGCTCCTGTCAAAAAACAAATGTGAAATAAAGAAATTATCTATCAAATAGATAATTCAGGAGCACTCTAGAGCAACTAGCTGTTCTGGTATTTCCTCATTATGAAAATTTTCAAACGAATACAAGAGTAGAGAAAACAGTACATCAAACCCTGTGTGGCCACCACCAACCTCAACTCATGGCCCATCCTATTTCATTTGGACCCCATCCACAATTCCCCAACTGCATTTTTATTTTTTTCCAGGGTTTTTCATATTTTTATTTTATTTTTTTAAGATTTTATTTATTTATTTGACAGACAGACATTACAAGTAGGCAGAGAGGCAGGCAGAGAGAGAGAGGAGGAAGCAGGCTCCCCGCTGAGCAGAGAGCCCGATGTGGGACTTGATCCCAGGACCCTGGAATCATGACCTGAGCCAAAGGCAGAGGCTTAACCCACTGAGCCACCCAGGTGCCCTATTTTATTTTTTTTAACAGTTTCCTTTTTCTTTTTTTGAATGGAAGTATAATTGACGTACAACATTTTGTTAGTTTCAGGAGTACCACATAATGATTGATATTTGTAGCACCCAACTGGATTTTTAAAAAGGGAATCATGTCATCCTAAAATATTTCATTGTGTATCTTTAAAAGGTAAAGCTAACAGGGTAATGGGTAGTAAGGAGGGCACGTGTGGTGATGAGCACTGGGAGTTATACGCAACTAATGAACCGTTGAACACTACATCAGAAACTAATTATGTACTATACGCTGGCTAATTGGACATAATAAAAAGAAAGAAAAAAGGTAAAGACTCAAAAAAAAAATAACACCATTATTATGTCTAAAAAATTTACACTTAATGTCATCAAATACCTAGTTAGTATTTAACTTATCCCACTTTACTTTACTTTATTTTTAGCTCTTCATTTTGCTTAATCAGGATCCAAATGAGATTAGCTTTTGTTAAATGCATCCTGAATTTCTAGTTATGCTATACCACCTTTTGGGAGGCAGACAGTTGGCAAATTATTCATGGTAGCCGATTTATATTTATTAAATTTCACTTTCCAGACAAAAATTTTTTCAGGGCTCTTCACTTTGTATCTCCTCCTCTGTCAGTTCCCTGACACTCTAGGACTTCTCTGGAATTAGAAACTTATTTTTCCTGATTTTAGCACATTATTAGGAATGATCCTAAACATGGGCCTAGAAGAAATAAATACATGAAAACAAAAAGAGATCTTCAAGTGAATGTTTAGTTGAGAAATACCTGTTGCAGAATAGTGTCAGGTGTATCTCAAAACTCTGACAACCTTTAGCATTTCTGACTTGGTAGGAAAAAAAAAGTTCTTTCCTCTAGAAATCATAAAAACTCCTTTGAACATTTCAGAAGTGGGAACAAGAGTCTCTTTTAAGAATTAGGCAGGGGCTCTGGGTGGCTCAGTTGGTTAAGCCTCCAACTCCTGATTTTGGTTCAGGTCGTAAGCTCAGGGTCCTGGGATGGAGCCCCACGTTGGGCTCCATTCTCAGCAGGAAGTCTCCTTGAGATTCTCTCTTTCTCTCCCTCTGCCCCTCCCCTTGCTTGCTCTCTCTCTCTAAAATAAGTAAATACAGCTTTACAATAAATAAATAAGTAAATGATGGGCAAAGTCTCTTGCTGAACTTTAAAATATTACCTGGTACAATCAAATTCACAGAGGTTGTTTGGGGACCTCTCACCAATGAGTTCCCTATTCTCCTCAAATTAAAAATGAATGTATTTTCTGGACATGCCTACAACTTCTCCTTTGAAGGTGGTTAGTATAAATGTGTATGTGCGTGTGTGTTCACCTATACTCTCTTATAGAATGTGATTTATGGATTTCTTGCCCATTTACTACCTGTAAATCATCAAGAGTTTTATGTCCCAAGCAGTCAGCAGTTGGTTATAAAATCAACAGAGAGCTGTACTAAATAAACCTTTCCTGGATTGCTCTTAAGAATTGATGACAAATCAGAAAGTGAAGACAACTCCATGGGAATGATTCTTACCTGCCTCTGGGATACCTCAAAGGTCTCAGATACAGGAATTTTATTTGTCGTGAGCTTTTAAGAAGATTAATAACCAGATGAACTGGGAAGGAAATCAGTTTTCTGGGTGCCAGAAGTTTTCTCCTGAAAGAAAGAATTTGTCCTCTAGTACAAAACTTACATTTGTGTAAATCATAGACACAACTATGTGTGCTGGGGTCTGATGATACACAAGGGGCTGAAAATGAAGCATATGTAAGAAGTCAGTGATCTTCCTGTTAGAATCCTCACATTTATTAGCTTAAAGAAATAAATTTTAAAAAGGAATGTGTGTGTGTATACTTTTTAAATATATATGTTTCTCAATAAATACATAAGAACTGAGAATGGTCATTTCTGACGCTAGGGTGGGAGACTCATTTTTCATTTTAGTCCATGCTAATTAATGAATTTTTTTTTTACCATGTTCATTTACAACCTGTTCAAAGAATTATTTTTATAATAGAGGAAGAAGAGGGGCGCGTGGGTGGCTCAGTCGTTAAGCAGCTGCCTTCACCTCGGGTCATGATCCTGGAGTCCTGGGATTAAGCTCTGCATTGGGCTCTCTACCCCACGGGAAGTCGGCTTCTCCCTCTCCCACTCCCCCTGCTTGTGTTCCCTCTCTCGCTGTTTCTCTGTCAAATAAATAAATAAAATCTTAAAAAAAAAAAAAAAGAAGAAGAAATAGAGGAAGAAGAGAAGGAGATGATCTCTCTCCATGTGTTTTTACTGTTAACATCATCTTCTTGAGTCCCGAGGTAATAATGTTCATTGTCACCGCTGCTTATATATCCCACAGATAAACACACAAGACACATAGATGCAAATTCAGTGTGTATACAGATGTGGACACAAGTACCTTGCAATATGAACCACAGTTTTACATGGACACACACATATAAGGGCTCGGGGGACATAACCGAGTGTTCACTGTCCATCACTCACCATGTGTGTGAAAGAGTTTTCACACATCCATGTTGTCACTGAAGTCCTCTATGGGCTCCTGTTCAATGTTAGGTAAACACAGACCAATGTCAATGTAGCCGCAGCACACAGAGAGTCATGAGTCAGATTCCACAGGTTCTTTCTTTGATCATTTTCTCAACCCAGCCTCCACCGTCATACCTTGAAAACCTGCTTACCCCAGCAGCCATTCATTTACCTTTGTACCTTCAGAGGTGAAACAGAGAGCAACCCAAGTTACCTGATTCCTCATTGGAAGAAGCTACAGGACTAACTGTGCACCATTTTCTCCTCTTTCCTCTCTGGATGGGCCTGCAAGGACATCAGTGCCTGCAGCAGCCACCCTCAGCCCTTTCCCTCCCGGTCCCTGCCGGGCCCTCCCACTCCCCAGCTTCCTTCTGGGCCTCTGGGGCTGGCCTGATCCCACTTCAGCCAGGAAGGATGCTCTGATCCCTCAACAGTGTGAACAGGAGCCAGAAAAACATGTTTGGAATTTTTCAGAGGGCAAATAGACTACGAAGGGAAAACAAATCTCTGTCTGCAAAGCTCCAAAGAGAACAGGTTTAGACTAGGGTGTGTCTGCATCTCATTCGGCCCCTCGGAGGCCACAGGGACTCACCCTTGGGGGTCACCTTTCTGGTCCCGGTGCTCCGCTGACGCCTGGATGGACCTCCCAGCTTCCTCTGCGGTTCTCGAAGGCCTGTGGCAGGAGGCACCCCATGGCTACTTAGACTTGCGTATTCAGCTGACATCTTTTCAAACCTGAACAAAGTGAGTTTGTTACTTCAAGAGAAGCAACTGACAGCATTTGTGGCCCACAGTAATATTCAACCTTTCAAGGGAAAATGAGAATTTCTGAAAAACTTCTATCATCATGAGCTTGACATTCTTAAAAATGTAATTTAAAAAAATATTATATAACGAGATGTGCCAACATTCGAAAGGACCGTATAACTCAGTGAACAAGTATTTTCCACATGAGTACTAGATGATGTTTCAAAATCATGCCCGTGTACAACATGCGTTCAACATGCTAGATGGACCAATGGGTTTTCATGTACTAGAGTACAAAATATTCATTGATATGATTTCAGATTCCACACTGCAACTAGCCTTTAAGAAACTTCCATGTGAGTTTTGAAGTAGTATCAAAAAATAATATCTATGATTATCTGAAAAGCTTTAAAAAAACTTCTATAGGGGCGCCTGGGTGGCTCAGTGGGTTAAGCCGCTGCCTTCGGCTCAGGTCATGATCTCAGGGTCCTGGGATCGAGTCCCGCATCGGGCTCTCTGCTCAGCAGGGAGCCTGCTTCTCTCTCTCTCTCTCTCTCTCCCTCTCTGCCTGCCTCTCTGTCTACTTGTGATCTCTGTCAAATAAATAAATAAAATCTTTAAAAAAAAAAAAAAACTTCTATATTTTCCAACTTATACATCTGTGTGAAACCAGATTCTCTTCATATAATTCAACCAAAACAACACATTGCAACAGATTCAATGGGAAAGCAGATATGAGAATCTTGCTGTGTTCTGTTGGATATTTTTCAAAAATTTAAAAATTAGAAAGAAATACCACTCTTCTAACCTTTTTTTCCACATAGGAAATAATACGGTATTTAATATGTAAAGGATATATAATTGTAATTTTGTTTTTTCCTTTCTCTATTTTTTTAAAGTTATTTTGTTTATTTAAGTCATCTCCACACGCAACATAGGGCTTGAACTCACAATTCTAAGATGAAGCAAGAGTTGCATGCTCTTCCAACTGAGCCAGCCAGGTGCCCCTGTAATTTTTATTTTATTTTATTTTTTTAAAAAGATTTTACTTATTTATTTGAGAGATAGAGAGAGAGAGAGAAAGAACAAGAGACAGAGAAGGAGCAGGGGGAGGGGCACAGGGAGAGAGAGAAGCAGACTCCCTGTTGGGATCATGACCTGAGCCAAAGGCAGACACTTAACGAACTGAGCCATCCAAGGCGCCCCTGTAATTTTTATTTTTATGTTTTAATTTTTTTGAAGATCTTAGTGCTTTCTAAAATTTTTTCAGCATTATTGAGGTATAACTGACAAGTAAAATGATAAGATTTTAAACTGTACAATGTGATGATTTAATATAGATAATGTAATTTTTTAATGCTTAAACAAATAAATATTTAATCTTTTTTTGGTTTTAATTTCTAATACAGTAAGTACTAATAGATATCACATAAACAAAAATTCTTTGCGTTCCTCAATATATTTCAAGGGTATAAGTGATTTCCAAGAGACAAACTGTTGAGAACAGCTGGTCTATATGATTAGGGACAGATAAGAAGCAGGGGCAATGAAACTACCTAAAACACTACATTTTTTAGCCTCCTTTGCAGCTAAGTTTGAGCATGTAATGAAGTTCTGGCCAACAGGATGTAAACAGAAATTTGGGGACAAGGCTTCCAGGAAGACTCCCTGGAAAATAGATAGCTAGGGGAATTCCTTTTTTGATTCTTGCTTTTCCTCATTCTGAAAGACTACAACTTGTACATAGTTACAGAACACCTAGCAGCCAGCTCAGATAGCAAGGCGACCCTGAGAATAGAAGCTACTTATAAAGATGGAGCAGAAAGACAGAAAATGTTGAGTCCTCAATGACTGTGATGCAGGTTGTATACTCTAGACTTCTTTTAAATGGAAGAGAAGAAAAGTTTTGAATCTTGTTTAAGCCACCATTATTTTGACTTTTCTGCTACATGTAGGAAAGCAAGTTATGTCTTTAAGTGTGACAATGTGCTAAGATTAGCCACAAAGGGCCCATTTTTATGTGGATTATATAACTATGTATGTATTTTTAAGACTGGGTTTCACTCCCATGCCAACCATTGTATCAAGGTATGATACTGAGAAAACATTTCTCAGGGTTAGCATTATAGGCAGTCAGAAATTCATTCAAGTCTTTATCAGCAAACATTCAGGAGGCTCATGCTATTGGCAGACAGAGAGCCAGGCATTGGGTCTACATACGCTCAGAGCCCTCGGGGTCCATGGAGGGAGCCGCCTCACCCCAGGAACTAGCATGGCCCTCACGGCTCTGCTGTGGGCCCCAGAGTGAGATAACCGACTATTCTCAGTGTAGAGAGAGAAGTAGACAGCTCGTCCCTTAATTGGTATTTCTGGGGCAGGCCTTAAAATTCTCTTGAGCAAATTTCATTGTCACCCGCACTCACTGAACCAGAATGGCCCAAATAAACAAAGAGGCTTGCCCTCCCCTCTCCTTAACGCTGATGGGTTGACAGATCGCATTCCCATGACCAGCCACGTCAGTTACTGCGGGCCGTCTCATGCTACACCATCACTCCGGTAACCAGCCTGATCTGAAGTATAGCTGCAGAAGGTCAACAAACCTTGTCCATGGGATCACCTGTTGCTAAAATCTTTTAAGCAAAGGTAACTTCTTGTGGAACCCTAGAGCAGTCTCCTCCCTCCTGTTCTACACAGTCTATAACCATTTCCTGGGAGCATCACAGGTGAGAACGGGATGAAGGAGAAATGTACAAAGGACTTATTCATGAAGGTTGGCGCATTCCAGAAGGGGGGCATTTCCAGAGTAACCAGGTTTCCCTCAGGCTCCTTGGGTTCAGGGTGGACTCAGGCCAGACCTGACCACTGCACAGCCTGCTAGGGATCAGACATGGTGACACTGTTGATCAAGAACTATAACGTCTGCAGAGTTGTGATTAGTAATACATGCTGCCCTGACAGGGAAAGTAGGGTCAAGTACAAGCCTGGGTGGGATGCCACTTATTAGCTAGGTGACTTCAGGCAAGTTGCTTCACCTTGCTGAGTGCAAGTAATAGTTACATATGGTTCCTCAAATAATGCTGTTCACTCTAGCATTGGGGGTATAGGCCAAAATATGCTAACATCGTTAGAGAAATTATTTTTCTATTAATTTTATGCTATCATGATCCATCACTTGGAATTAGATTTGTTTTCATGTCACTTAAAACCCCGAATAACAGGAACTCAAACAGGAGAAGTTTATATCTCTCTTCCATATAAAAGCCCAGATGTAGATAGGACAGGGATTATCCCTACCATTGGTGGTTCGGATGCCGATCTTTCCACCATTTTTATTCATCACCTTGCATTCTTCTTCAAAGTCATCTCATGGTCCCAAGTGACTGTGGAAGTTTGGCATTATGTCCCCATTCTAGAAGGCAGAAGGGAAAAGAAAAGAAAAAGAAATGAAAAAAGGACAAACCTCACATCTGATTAGATTCTCTTAAAGAAAGCCTTCCTGGAAGCTCCATGTTCTACTTCCACTTCTGCCTCACCAACCAGAGTTTGGTCCTGTGGCTTCAACAAGCTCAAGGCGTTCTGGGAAACAGGGTTGTTTTTTGTTCCTGCTGTTCTATTGCAAAGGGAAGAGAGTAGAACGGATGCTGGGTAGCAGCTAGCGGCCTCTTCCATACTTGGTCCTTCCTCTCTTACTCAGGCTAGATTCAACTATCCGCTCAAGAATGTGGAACTTTTCAGAAAATGTTTGTTTTGAATCCCTCTGCTGAACCAAAAATACTAACTTTGAAATGCCAAGTCTAAATACACATGCCAGATGTAAGGTTTTAGCCCAAGAAGCTTGCCTTGTAATTTTAGAACAACAGATGCACTCATCAGCGGGAAGCATCAATGAGTTACAGAGCATCTAACTCATAAAACAGGCAAGGTTTGGACTGTACCATGACACCAAGAACTTACTGTGTCACATACTTGTCTCACTTCTCTAAGTTTTTGTGGGATTTTCCATGTCCCCCATCTTCACATGTGAAGGACGTTAGTTGTTAGGGAAACAGTGACATTAAATTCACATGGCAGGATTTAATGATATTGACATATTCATAACAAAGTACATTCATTCCAGAAGCTGGGATTTAATGATTTGAATTGCTCAGAGTTTAACTGGTTCTCTGAGTTCAGGGTGGGGAGAGAGGGGGGAGAGTATAGGAAGCCAGACACCTTTGGGAGCTGCCATAACTTCTTTGGGGCATTAGAGCTATATTTAGTGCAATTAAGTTGCTAATTCAGTAAAAACTACTACAGTTCCCTTGTGGTCTGACAGAGTAAAATGCAGCTGCTAACAGTGGCTGATTTATAACCTAGGCATCAGGGGAAACAAGCCAGATTCTTCTGAGGGCCTAAATCACTCAGCCAGGAGATCAAAACAGCATGATTCCCCTGGGTAGAGTGACAGACAGGCAGCCTCCAAAACCCAGCTTGACAAACTCCCCATTTTCAGCAGGATTAGACCCCTGCCTCTCCCTCATCCTTCAGAGGATGCAGAAAGTATAAGAGAGCCTTCAAAGGCTCAGAGGTCAGTACCTACACTCTCTTCAACCTCAGGGAAACTGACTCAAGAGGCAGAGAAGTATGTATTTAATCTGTGATCTCCCCTACTAGCAAGTTCAGGTCATTGAAGATGACATATGTGTATGGGCAGGGCCAATTTGACGGGCTAAGACATTGTACACCACACATCCCCCAGCGGACACCATTCACAGCATAGTCTAATTCAGTGGTTCTCAAACATGGCCACATATTAGAGCCACCTGAACAGCTTGAAAAATCCCAGTGCCAACACTGCATCTCAGACCAATTAAATCAGACTCTCTAGAGGAGAGACCAAGATGTCAATAATATTTAAAGTCACCCAAGTGATTCCAATGTGCAACCAAGTTTAAGAAAACCAATGGTCTGACTCACGTATACTTTGATGTGAATGGTGTCCCCTGCAGCTATACTGAGGATAACCTGCCCAGACTTATGCCATAGCCTTGAGTGGGGGTTGAGAAGCAAAGAGATGGCAGAGGACAGTAGAGAGATGAGTATGCCTTCCCCCCCAAAAGAACTGAAAAGGAAATCTAGAAATTGGGCCCCAAACCAGCAATCTATGCCTAGGGTTAAAAATGAAGGCATTGTATAATTTGGGTTTTCTGGATGGCTTACATGATCCCCAATTTTACTTCTAATCTACCCCAGGTCTTGAACTTCATTTCTTGGGTATTTTCCAAGACTTGTATTTTAGGGCACCTGGGTGGCTCAGTGGGTTAAGCCTCTGCCTTCGGCTCAGGTCGTGATCCCAGGATCCTGGGATCGAGTCCCGCATTGGGCTCTCTGCTTCTGCAGGGAGACTGCTTCTCACCCCCTCTTTCTGCCTGCCTCTCTGCCTACCTGTACTCTCTGTCAAATAAATAAACAAAATCTTAAAAAAAATTTTAAAAAATAAGAAAGACTTAAAAAAAAAGACTCATATTTTATGTAATTAAAACAGTAACTCCTACCAAGTATCACTTTCTCAATACCATTACTCTTAGATCACGCAGCTCATCCAGACTTGGTCCCAGACTGTGTGGGTTGAGGCCCCTTCCCTATCAGACCCAGATACCATTAGAAGCAGAGGACTGGTTTTCCATGAGCTTCTACACAGAGCTTTTTCATTTATGTTGTCTGCTGGGAATCTTTTTCTTTTCATTTTCCTCTTTGACTTTTCAATTCCTGCGCAAAGACTTAGAGGCTAGAGTCTGTGGGTGAAATCAGCCCTGGGGATGTAGCCTCCTCCTTGGGAACCTCTTTCTAGAGCTGGGGCCTCAGGTCAGATGGCCCCACTGACCCCTCTCTGCCACCCAAAGGCTCTATGTCTGGCACAAGGGAAACACTCAGCGGCGCTTCGGAGAACATGTGTATAGAGGAATAATGCGGGGACAAACCACGCGAGAAGGCGGCTCTGGGCGCTGAGAAGTAGAGTATGTCCCAACAGACGAAGTGCTGAATAGCTGTAAATCTGGCTGAGGCCTCTCCGGGCCTCCATCTCCACTCAGCCCTGTGAAAGGGGTCTCCTACACTGTCCTGCTGGATCAGCAGGCACTCTGGGACCTCAGTGGCCCTCGAGCTCACCTGCAGTCACCAGGTCTTGGGACCGCATGCAAAGAGCAGAACAGTCAAGGGCTGACTCCCATAGTCCCAGGATTTGGTTTCTTACTGGCTGAGTAACTTTGAGTATTTCCATGAAAATTGCCATACTTCTGTCCCCTTTATCCGTTGAGTGGAACTGTCTGGGCCTCTTGTGTTGCTTAGCATGTGCCTGGAGCCACGGTAGGAGCTTTGTAAAGTAAGGCAATGGTATTCTCTCACAGGCTCCAGTCCAAGATTTCATTGCCTTCACCAGGGAAAACTGGCGGAGGGAACCTGGTCACACCTACCCCCGGTTGGGGGCCATGTCTCCAGACCATGGAGTGTGTTTCATGGATCTAGTGATAATCAAACTCTTTTTTGAGTAGAATACAGTAAATTCTGAGGTCCTGGTTCCATCTTTTTCTTTAAGGACATGGAGTAGTGTTTAAAAAAGTAGGTTCTGGAGTCAGAATGACTTCCTTGTCTCATTTCATCACTCTGTGAAGACCTTTGGTGAGTTCTTGCCTTCACTTAGTCTCAGTTTCCCTATCTGTGAGATGGAAGCAACCCTAGAATTCAGGTCAAATATACGGCTTATTGAGAGAACCAAAGGATATAATGTCTGGAACATAACTAGCACCTGATAAAAATGACGGATATTACTGGAAAGTCTTATTTGCAACCCCTGCTCCCATGAACTAGGCCTATGGCCCTCTTCTGACCCCATGGATTCCCACAGCAGTTCCTGCCCACCTCAGGCCTGCTTGGCTTCAAATACTCCCAGAGAGCTCCATTTTCCAGGAGTTCCCCTTCCAGAGGGTCCCCACCTGATAGAAATTCCTTACGTAAAAGAGAGTTCTGGCTTCCTAGAACAATCATCACTCAAGAAAATCTTCCCACAGTGGATCACTTATCTCCACAGGCCCCCATTAAATCACCTCTCCATTCCTATTGCTCCTGTTGGCAGACCAAGTCCTGTTTCAGCAGGGCTGATAGCTTTATTCCAAGGTGCTCGTGCCTTTGAAAATGGACACTTTCCCCCAAGTGTGCCACCCCACAGCCTGCCAGCCTGCTCCCTGCAAACACGGGGGGGGGGATGCCTGCCCAAACTGGCAACTGCTAAGTCTAATAATAACTTGCACCCTGTGTGATGAACTATTTTGTGTTTCTTCATGGTCGGAGTCCCACCCACATCAACTTGACATCACTGTTTCCATAGTAAATAATAATCTTCAAATGGAATACAGCGGGAGCTGAAAGCCCCACAAAATGCAGCCAAATGAGACAAACATGTTCCTTCCACAATGGATACAATGACGCGGTAGGGCCACAAGCCTATGTATTTATGTTCCAGATGACCTCCATATCTCAACCCCTGGTTCTTCCATTCAACCAGGAATGGGAGGACTTGCAACTATGAAAACAACACACCACAACCTTACAGACCCTCTGGGAGCATATATTTTTATAGAGAGACATGACTCATCCGTTAACTGTTAAGACTTATTCTTGCGATCCCATATCCGGAGCATGTGTTAATCCTCAACGTTTCAAAGGAGGTATTTGGACTTGAGTTCTCTGCAGCATTTAAAGCAGACCCTGGGGTCCTGCTTTCATTCACTCACCGTCTGGAGCCCTCGCTTAGCATCCCGGATAAGTTCTTTTCACAGGTTAGGTGTTGAATGCAAGCTCCTTAAGGGCAGGGCCCAGTCTTTAACAGATACCTCGATTTCCCAGAACCCAGCACACAGAAGAAGGTGTTTAAATTTGCTTATGGACAGAACAGAATGCTGTCCAAGAGAGAAGAGAACCCTTTTGACAGGTAACATCTGAATACATTTAAGGGCACTTTTGTTTCTGGATATTGTATAAAGACATTAACTCACCCTTACCTTCCTGTGGTCCATGGATTGGCAGCATGACATCACATTGAGGTTGTTAGAAATGGAGACTCTTAGGCCCAGACTTCCTGAGTCAGAACCCTCATTTAAACAAGATCTTCTGATCATTCACATACATATTAAATATCGAGAAGCCCTTGTGGGTCTACACCACCTTCATTGCAATGGTTGAGAGGGCTGTTCATGTAAGGGTCTGGGTATGTGGAAGGCGGGTGAGAGAGAAGCCAATAATATTTATTGAGTTCAAAAAGAGCCTCGGAGGTAGGTACTATCATCATTCTATTTCACCAGCTAGCAAGATGTGGAGACAGAATCAAACCTATAGAGTCCATGTTCATAAACCATTATGTTATGTCCACTAGGAATTAAAGAAATCTTCTTATTCCAGTAATACTTTAGATGAATTCCAGCTTACAGTCAGGTAGTAGCTTCCTACGTGAAGCATTAACATATTGATAGGACTTAGGGCAGCCTGTATTCCATACCTTACATGAGTAACACATGCTTACTGTAGAAGAATTAGAAAATACAGATAAGCTAAAAGAAGTAAAAACTACCCAATAATGACAGCATAGTTAAGATTTTAATAAATATTCTTCCATATGTCATTATTTTAATATTTATGACTACCTATATGCAGATGTATATATTCATACTTTTTGAAAGATTTATGTATTTATTTGAGAGAGAAAGAGAGAACAGCAGGGGAAGGGCCAGAGGGAGACAGAAACAAGCAAACTCCCCACTGAGCAGGGAGCTCAATGTGGGGCTCGATCCCAGGAGCCTGAGATCATGACCCAAGCGGAAATTCAACTGGATGCTTAACTGACTGAGCCCCCCAGGCGCCCCTATTCATACAGGTTTTTAACAAAAAAGTAATCATGGTATCCATACTAATTTGTGACTTTCTCTATTTTACAATACCTTTAGCGGGCACCTGGGTAGCTCAGCTGGTTAAACATCTGCCTTTGGCTCAAGTCATGATCCCAGATCCTGGGATCAGCCCCGCATCAAGTTCCCTGCTCAGTGGGGAGCCTGCTTCTCTCTCTGCCTGCAGCAACCCCTGCTTGTGAGGTCGCTCACTGGGTCTCTGTCAAATAAATAAATACAATCTTTTTAAAAATAAATAATATAAAATACCTTTAGAAGTTTAGGTCTCTCCATCTCTCACAGTCTCCCCTTCTCTGCACATGTTTTTAATTCCCACCCATTCTTGAAGGATTAGCTCAAGACTCACTTCCTCCACGAAGCCTCCCCTGACCACCTGGAACCATGGGCGGCAGTGACGCTTAGCTGATGTTGTCAGCCTGGCCGCATCTGCCTGTGTGTAAGTGTAACCCTCATTCCCAAGAGTCTGAACGATATTCACAGGACACCGACCTCCAGCTTCTGCTCATGGAAATGCTGCAGCCACAACAAGTTCCTCCCTCCAGGCTCAAGGGCTCTCTTGAATGTCTCACACAAGTGTCCCAACTGTCCTCTGTTGTAACCCAGTGTGTCTGTCCTCCCCATGCTGGCTGCCCCTGCTCCCTGCATTAACTGGGTCATTGTGTCCACCTACCCTCTCCTGGCCACAGTGGACAGTCAGCTCCTGGCTGGATTGGATTAGAATTAACAAACCAAATTGCCAATATTGTTTTTGATCTACCTCTCTGGCATTTTCAGAGGTTCACCCACACACTCCTATTCTTGCACTGAATGTGACCACCTCTGCTGAGCTCTGACAGCTGTTTCAAGTACCTAGGGCAGACTCTTCCCACCTGCCTTATATTCCACCCTTAGGGCACAAAGCAGAGCAAGGCTCATCTTGGCTTCCAAGTTTCTGGGGGACCAGGTCTTTCACTGAACCTGGTCTTTTTTTCAGGCGACAGTACCTTCTGCTGTAGAGGCTGCCCCAGGGCCTTTGAGTGAGCTGCACTGGGCAGTGCTCAGAACGGTCCCAAGTCACTCACTGCAAACCTATGAGCCTGGCCTGGCTTGGGCACCATGAGGGTGGAGCCCATCCACAGTCAATGTCTGAGAGGTGCAGGGTGCCCTGCTTCCCTGCTGTTTGGCATCACCATCTCCCCCATGAAGCTACTGCCCTGTGGTCTCTCTCATGTCCAAACACCCAGGAGAAATCCTGGGTGTCAGCTCGCACCTTTGCTCTGGGGTCCTTGTTGTAATTAGCCCCCTCTTTCTCTCCACCTGCTGGGTAAGCGACCTTGAGATCCCAGTGACCAGCTCAGCCTGTCTTTGAATTCTAGCTCCAACACTTGCTAGCTTGCGTCAGTTTCTCTGGCCTCTCAGTGTCTTGTTTCTCTTATCTGTTGAAAGGAGGTAATAAGAGCGCCTGCTTCACTGGGCAGTTCTGAGAGTTAAACAGAATCACCCATGAGAGAGGCTTAGAGCTGCGCCCAGAACATGGCGAGCACCTGAACCTAGCACTCAGTCTATGCCTGATACACTGCGGTGGGTGGTTAAGGCTACCTTTGGGAACTGGAGGCAGCTGTCCTGTGCTAATTACAGAGAAAGTGCCCTGCAGTGAGGGAGAGTGAACATGTGGAGGCAGGTGGGAGTCTGCATCCCAGGGGTGCTGCACCCTGGGCTCCTGGCCCCTGGTCACACCTGTCACACCAGACCTCTCATCTCCAGGGGATATTTCTGTCCAGTAGCAACAAACACCTAACCACCTGCAGGGGGCTTCTGGGAGCTTCCAACTAGAGCAGTGCGAATTTTGGAACCTTGGAAAAAAGCATCCTCTTTCCATAAAGCAGTCATTTAAGCCCCAAGAACCTGGAAACCAAGTGAAAAACATCATAAACATCACGATCTGACAGCTTCAAAAGTAGATTATTCAGTTCCAAATATATACAAAGACTCTAGATTGATGTATAACTTCTGAAGTTCTATGCAAATTTCAGGCCTAAAAACAAGCGGGGTCTCTGCAGGGAGAAATGCCCCGAACCGTCAGCATTCCTGGGAGCTGTCAGCACTGGGCGGGCGCTCATTCCTGGGAGCAGGCTGGGGCTCTGGAGACACATATGTCAAGGCTCACTGGCACTTTTGAGCCTTCAACACCAAAACCCACCAGAAAACACCCCTCCCCGCTTCCACCCCCAGCAGCTTTGCTTTCATCGTGGCTACCCCTTTCTGTGTACCACCATGGTTTTCATATTTAGTGTCATCATGACACATATTGTTTATATTTAACCCTCTTTTCATGGGAGAGATGTATCTACGCAACCCCACAGTAGCTTTGGTCAGTAGTTAGCATTCTCATAACTGCTCCTGTTCTCAGTGAGGATTTCTCCTAAATATGGGAAACTTTTGGAATGTCTGCCCTATGGGCATACAGCAGACATGCATTTTCACAGGACCCGCTATGTAATTTGCATGACGGCAAAATGGAAGTGTGGGGCTCCTTCTTCAAAAATTTACCAAGAGTTTCAAGATGGTGATGGCAGAGCATTAAACCAAGAGCAAGGCTCTGGGTGACTGTATGGGTTGCATACCGGTATCATCAGCCCGGCATTTGAGGCCACAATAGCCAATTCAAGGAATGACACTTTCCTTATTTCTCCCAAACAAAATTTAGCATCCAAAAGATTAGGGTGTTCCCTCCCCCAATCCTGGGAGCCTACTAGAAATGTGGGCTTATGTGGTGCTACCCAATGGCAGGGGTGGGAAGGGAGGCCATGTCCTTGGGCCCCAGTGGTTTCCCTCTTTACTGTTGCTCCTTCGGCTACATGAAGCCACGGCTGACCCCAGCTCCTCACCATAGGTCTTCCAGGCATGCCTGGCAGCTCAGAGAGGGACTTACCACAGACTTGGCAACCACTAGCTACCCTGATCTCTGCCTTCCTGTGTTCCTTGACCCTCCTACCCCTTGCAAGTCTGGGATTGGTTCGAACCCTTTCTCAGGATCTGGCTGCTTCCACCCAGTCAAGGCATGGCCCTTTGCCCTCTCCTCTGAGATGTTTCCAGATTAATGCCCCTCAGAGGGCCTTCAGGAATATACTGCTGCCATCTTGTCTGAGGTGAGAAGAGGGAAAGCAGATGTGTACCTCAGTGAGGGAAGCTTTTTGTATTCTCACCCCTGTGGGCTTCACCAAGGTTTTGGTGAGACGTGGGCCTCCCATCTTCTGGGTCTTCTGGTGCCTTTCACCCTTTGCATCTGTAAGGGACTGAGGAAGCCCCGTGGGAGAGGAGGAGGGGTGAGCAGGTAGAGTAGATGCACTGCGATGAGGGGGGAGAACTTGTTGAATTCTGAGTCTGTTGCTTCTGTTGCTATGACCTTAATTCCCCCATCTGTAGGCTGGGTGGTAGTACCTGCCTCCCGGGATGGTTGATGAGGAAATCAGAAGGAACATGCACCAAGCCCTTTGCCACTATTAGCCCTCTCTCCTCCCTTCCCCTCCCCTCATCTTCTAACTTCAAAACCACTCCAAGCCAGAAGAAATCAAGGAGTTTTGCAGATTTGGACAACTATCTCAAGGTGTTCATAACTGACTGCTGAATGAAAAGGCAGGGAATAAACTAGCCTGCTGGATTCCATTTATGCAACTCTGCACACATATCCATTTGCACCAGAAATGTTTGGAAAGATATTCATCAAAATGGCAATAGTGGTTTTCTATGAGTGCTAGGATATCAGGTGATTATTACCTTGTTGTTGATACTTTTATGAGCCGTCTTAATTTTCTGCAATGAATAGGTCTTTCTAAAAAATCTTTAAAGTGTCATAACACACAACTATGTAGGATAAGAGTGGTTAGTTTAGAAGATTTCTAAAGGTGAGTGCATGACATTGTCTACGTGAGGACCCAGGGCAAAGATATGAGTGTAAAATGTAAGCTCTAAAAATAGCTGCCTTCAGTATAACCTTATGCAGCCTCTTTAAGAATCATTTGGCAATACCAAGCAGTTCTGAAAATCGATATTCTCTGTGACCCAGTAATTCCACTTCTTGTTATGTACTCTGAAGAATCTCTCATGCATGAGCACAAAGAGATACTGAAAGGGTGTCAGCCACAGCCCTGGAAACTAGAAACGACACAAACATCCATTGTCTGAGTCCGTTTTGGCTGCTATAACAAAATTACCTTAAACTTGGTGGGTTACCAGCAACAAACATTTGTTTCTTACAGCCTGAAAGCCAGGAAGTCCAAGATCATAAGATCAGCAGATTCAGTATCTGGTGAGGGGAGACATTTCACATTTTAGTGTCTAGAACTAGTCACACGTCCCTGCAAGGAGTTCTTTCAAATGAGAATAGAGCTAAATGTATCTTTATGTTGCAATTATTCTGTAAAAGGGGTCATATGTAGCTTTGTCTAAACACGGGAAATCAGATTCTTCACATGTTTCCAATCATTTTTAAAAATGGGCTAAAAAAAATCTTGTAATGATTTCTGGGTGGGTTCAGTAAGCTCATTGTTATGCAAAGAAATTGCATTCAGAAGCGGCAAACTACTTTGTCTAAGAAATCATTTCACTATCCCAGACAGTAGCAATGTGCATTTCTGAAACTCATAGTTCCCTGTACGGAACTGAACCACTGTGGGAAATAGGTAGCTGACCCCATACTTCTCCTTTCTCTTAAGTATATTTCACTGTTAATCCCTGCTACTAGCAAAGAGTAGAAGCCCCTCTGGGCCTGCACATCTATTTTTGCCTCCACGTAACTACAGATTCACTCTTGGTTTGTTTTTTACTGTTCATTTTTATATGTTTAATTGTCATTACAATGTTCTGCAAATATCTGCAAGGCATTTTGCCCTGCAGTTGCTGAAAGGCCTTGTCTATTTAAAGAACCCAAATCTCACCTTATGGTGTCATGCTTTGGGCACAGAGGACAGAGGGACCTCCCTAGCTGGAAAAGCAGTGCTCCTCAGAATCTGGACACCCTTCAGAAACACAGTGCCAGGCCAGCAGGGGACCTTGCCGGCAGCATTTGTGTTTTAAGGAAGTATCAGGATACTCTTACTGGGGGGAGGCACCAATGAGATAACCTGGGGGGTGAGCCTCCCTGCCTCCCACCAGAACTTGTGTTCACATTTCAGGCCCTGTGAATTCCGGTTCTGTCCATGGAGCCATCATTTTCCAGTCTCCCTCTGGCAAAACCAGAGCTCTTCTCTACCTCCTCTCTCTTCCCCAGGCCCCAAGGGGAAGATGATCCTGCTTTCTTGGAATCTGCCCTTCCCTGGCCCTTGTCCGGGCTCTCCTCCCTGCATCTGCCTCTTTGCACTTGCTGCCTGGCTCGTGTCCCAGGCTCCAGCTTCTCCCACACCCGGAGTCCTCTCCCTCTGCCCTACTGGGACTCCACCTTCCCTCAAAATTGCAGCAGCTCCCCCTACAGGGAAAAGGAGGAAACACAGTGGGGCGTCAGAGCCTTCTCCAATGGATCCAGACATACCCATTTCCCCAACTCTACCCTGCACAGACCCTCAGGCACACTGTGTCATTGTCTGTTACCTGGCAGGAGTGCCTTTCGCTCAAACTTCATTTTCACAAAGAGCTTCAGATTTAGACTTCCGACCGTAATCTTCAAACGAGACTATGCATAGAGTCTCAGAGACAAACTAACACAGGTTCCCATGTGACTACCATAGGTCTCCTGTTACTGGGCCACGTTATCTGTGGGGAACCATATAATGTGTTTTAGGTAAATGATGTAATTATTCTGTAATTATATTTTTCTGTAATTGTAAGGCATAATTTTCTAGCATTATATTTTGTTAAAGTAATTAAATTGTTCAGTGTAACATATTTTTAAATGTTCACAAATGCTATCACTCTGTTGAACCTTTCTTTCTCTTTTTCTCTTATCCTCCTCTTTCTTCCTTCCTTTTTTTTGGGGGGGGATGGCAGGGAAGAGAGTCATTTTTTAGCACACAGATCATTTTTTTGTTTTGTTTTGTTTTAATGGCTTGTTTTTCTTTGTTTCTGCCTTGGTATGGCTTTCTCCCCTCCTCCCCAAAAGCATCACTAAGCTCCCCCTGCTAAGACTTCTTCCTGCTTCTTCATGCGAGCTCACACCAGGTTCCCCCAAAGTCTCACCTCCTCATCTTTTAGCCTTGCCACAGTGCACAGTCTCACCTCCCTGCACTCAGGGGTACCCCTTGAGTGGGCTTGGAATACATTACCTTGAACCTCTACACAGTCATGTCTTTCCAACTAAACTGGAAGCAGAGCCTGTGTTTTATGCTCAGTTCTTGGGTCCATGGCTTCCCTCCAGGTGCCCTGAAATACCGTAAGTCCCACATTGCCCCATAAGCCTTCACTCAGCCTGCTGAGGATCAAGCTCATTGTGCCTATCTGTGGACTCCCCTTAGGGGATGTCCTTTAGGATGGACATTCTTTTTGTTGTTGTTGTTTGTTTGTTTTTTAATAAACATATAATGTATTTTCGTCCCCAGGGGTACAGGTCTGTGAATTGCCAGGTTTACACATTTCACAGCACTCATCATAGCACATACCCTCCCCAATGACCATATCCCCACCACCCTCTCCTGTCCCCCTTCCCCCAGCAACCCTCAGTCTGTTTTTTGAGATTGAGTCTTTTATAGTTTGTCTCCCTCCCAATTCCATCTTCTTTCATTTTTTCTTTCCTACCCCCCAAACCCCCCACATTGCATCTCCACTTCCTCATATCAGGGAGATCATATGATAGTTGTCTTTCTCCGATTGACTTATTTCGCTAAGCATAATACCCTCTAGTTCCATCCACATCATCGCAAATGGCAAGATTTCATTTCTTTTGATGGCTGCATAGTATTCCATTGTATATATATACCACTACTTCTTTATCCATTCATCTGTTGATGGACATCTAGGTTCTTTCCATAGTTTGGCTATTGTGGACATTGCTGCTATAAACATTCGGGAGCACGTGCCCCTTCAGAGCATCACGTTTGTATCTTTAGGATATATACCCAGTAGTGCAATCGCTGGGTCATAGGATAGCTCTATTTTCAGTTTTTTGAGGAAGCTCCACACTGTTTTCCAGAGTGCTTGCATAGGATGGACATTCTTAACCAGAGGTTAAGAGCACAGGAGGTTCCCCGGAACCCTCCAAAACTGGGCAAAATCTTCGTGCATGTGCAGTTTTGCTTTGTGAAGAGAATTATAGCTTTCATCAAAGTCTCAAAGTGCCTATGACCTAAAGCACAGAATGAACTCCTGCCCTGAAAGGCTCTGGCGTACAGCACAGAAATGAAGGAAAGAACTCAGTTGCCTCATCTGCAAAATGGGAATGAAGATGCATGCCTGCATGTGAAGGATGTCCAGGAAATGGCAATTATTAGTACTCCTGACCTAGTCTCAGAAATTCCTCACAGGAAAGAGTCCCCCACCCCAGTGCCTTAGGTCAGAGGTTCCCAAACTTGGGTAATCATCAGAATCATGTGGGGAGCTTTAAATATACAGATTCCTGCCATCCATTCCAAGCCCAAGGAAAGAATGTCTAGGAGAGAACACAGAGATCGACATCTCTACCCAGCCTCTTCCCTGATAGTTCTGATGGTCAACAGGGTCTGGGAATCATTTCTCCCTTGCTCCCCAAGACTGGCACCCTACCTTCCACTGGGCTTCCTCACCTCTGCCTTTACTTGTTCTGAGAAGGACGTGTTCAAGGAAACGGCCAGAGCCTCCGCGAGAGCAGCAGGCTGCAAAAGTCTTTCAGAACAAAGAATTAAGTATCTTTATAATTATATCCAGGCCTATATTTAGGCCATGGCTCACATGGCCTCTTGAACTTCAAATAAATATCTATTTTGTTCCTTGTTTAAACAGGTGTAGCAATATCGGGGGATACTAGATTTATCCAGGCAGGAAGGCAGCTCCCACAGCTGTCAGAAAGCACACTGCCCTTTCATTCCTCACAAGAGGAAAAGCTAATTATACTGTCATAGAGCAAAATAAATGTACAATTTCTACCCCTGAGCTCACTGAACCACTCAGGGCAAATTTTTTTCTGAGCTGCTCTCTGGCAGGACTCAGGGCCAGCTGCCTTGGCCCATGCTCAGATGTTTTAGAAGCCACTACAGTGGGCGACTGCAGTTTGGTGAGGCCCCCTGTCCCCAGAATGCCTACACTCTCACTCAAACACATGTCCATACACACTCAGTCATACTTCCATCTACATGCACATACATGTTCGCATATACTTGCACACATACAATAATGGGCAAGTTCCTCACACACACTCATGTGACATTCACATAGACTTCCACACACGTGCACGTGTGCACACACTCACACATAGACACACCCTTCCTCTGATGCCGAAACATACCACCCAACCATGAGAGTTTGCTCCTGTGGACTTCAGACTTCCAGTTCGCTTTCAAAATCCCTGAGACTTGCCTGTTTTTAGGACTTAAAGTCTCATGTCTGGGAACTCCCCATTTCCCCTAAAGTCCTGGGTAAATGGAGATATCTGGTCACCCTAAAAGGCATCTGCCCAGGCAGAGACCTAATATGCTTTCACAGCCAAGCAGTGTGCTACGAATGAGGGTCTATCTGCTCTCCTGACAGGCGCCCTCGGGCTTGGACACCAACCATGGTTACCGGCTTGGCAGAGCGGACGCACCCAGAGAAATCCTCACAGTGACAGCAGGCTCTGGCAAGGGATATAACCCGACTGGGTAGGGATCCTTCAGTGGTCCTGACTGCACGTTAGAGCGGACCTGTACCTTGATGCCCAGGCCCCACCATACACAGTACGGTTTAATTGCCTGGGGCAGTACCTGGCATTGACAGGTTTCTCTAGTTTCTGAGGTGATTTGAATGCAGTCAGGACTGAGAGTCACTGAACCCAAGCCAAGTATCCATCAGCCAGGTCACTCGCTCGTGCCCTCCTCACCCCTTGCGAGTATGTGTGGGGCTTATAAAGCTGGTGGCACGGCCAAGGTCATGTCAGGAAAGAGGACTACTCAATCTACTCAATCTCCCCACTCTGGGACTTTGAAAATGGACGTTATCCCGTAAACTGATAGAGCCAAGTCCAGTTTGCACATAAAGAATGTCTGATCATGCCACTGGCTGGAGGTTCAACCCAAACCATACTGGCAACTAAAATGAGCTTTCCAAGCAGCAGTATTGATGGCGGCTTGCCACCTTCAATGGCAGAAAAAGGAGGCTCTCAGACAGTGTGAGAGTGAGCGTTCCTGTAGACAGAACAGCCTGGGGATGAAGAACAGTGACTCAGAGGGGCAGAAAAAGGGTTGGAGGAGATAACAAGGACTTTGGAATTCGCTAAAGTAGAAGGTGTATCCTTTCTCTCCACCGGGAGGCACTGGTGTGGGAACTACACCAAGCCTCAGTTTCACCAAGTGCATAACAATACCAAGTACACAACAAGTTCTTGCTAGTTTATCAGTGACTAAGCACAGGACCTGGCTTAGGGTTGGTGATAAGTTAATGACGGCTGACAGCTCTTGAAACAAATGAATGGAGATGCTGTCTTTTTCTTTGTCTTGCACCAGAGTGTTCCCATCAAATCCAGAAGAGAGGATTCTATTCACAAGTCACATAAACAATTAGTTAATGGAGACTACTGATTTCCTGTTGTCATTGTAACAAATGACCATGAACTTAGTGACTTAAAATAATGCAAATTTATTGTCTTAGGGTTCTGGAAGTCAGAAGTCTGAAACGGGGTTCATTGGACTAAAATCAACATGTGGTTGAGTTGCACTTCTTCTGGAGGCTCGGGAGGCTGCCTTTTCCATCTTCTAGGGGCTTTCAGCATTCTTTTGGCCTCTTTCTCCATCTTCAAAGCCAGCACTTCAGTATCTTAAATACTTCTCTGACTCTGACATTCCTACCTCCCCCTTCTACTTATAAAGAAACTTGTGATCTCACTGGGTCCATGGAGGGCCATCTCCCCATCTCAAGGTCATTAACTTAATCTCATCTGCAAAGTCCCTTTTGCTATGCAAGGCAACACATTCACAGGTTCTGGGGAAGAAGAAATAACTTTTGGATGGCCACCATTCACCTACTACATGGGGACAGCTTTGTCACTTTTTAGCTTTTTACCTTCCAAAAGTTTTCCTCCAGGGCTGCCTGGGTGGTTCAGTGGGTTAAGCCTCTGCCTTCAGCTCGGGTCATGATCTCAGGGTCCTGGGATCGAGTCCTGCATCGGGCTCTCTCCTGGGTGGGGAGCCTGCTTCCTCCTCCCTCTCTCTCTCTCTCTCTCTCTGCCTATTTGTGATCTCTCTCTGTCAAATAAATAAAAAAAAAAAAAAAAAAAAAAAAAGTTTTCCTCCAGTCTTTGACACCTGCTCCCACTTAGCTGGTAGCAAATGCTGGCAGAAAGCTGAAAACGTCACTGAACAAATTAGCATCACCAGAACATTCAAAAACTGCCAGTCAGGAGCTTCCATCATTTCCACTGGGTGTCTATGTGCATCTGTTTATTGATGGTTGTGATTTCATAGTACATGCCATAGCACAGGCAGAGTTTTTGCTTGTAAAATGGTTTCTAGCACGTTTGAGGGGACTAATCAGTGACATGGTAGCCTGCAGAGATGACCTTGACAAGTCTGAGGACCTGTAACTGGCTGCCAGGACTTGAACTTTACAAGACCACTCTTCCCCCAGAGGGGAAACTTTGGCAACTCCTCCTGTGT